TGAAACAAAGCTGAAGGGGGTGGGAGAGTTTCAGTGGAGAGGAATAAATGGGATTAGGTCAGGGGTTTCAAATAGAGTTAGAGCTAAAGAAGGAGTAGCAATAATGTTGAAGGATAAGCTATGGCAGGAAAAGAGGGACTACAAATGTATAAATTCAAGGATTATGTGGAGTAAAAAAAGATTGGATGTGAAAAGTGGGTTATAGTAAGCGTGTATGCACCTGGAGAAGAGAGAAGTGTAGAGGAGAGAGAGAGATTTCTGGGAAATGTGAGTGAATGCGTGGGGAGTTTTGAATCAAGTGTGAGAGTAATGGTGGTTGGGGATTTCAATGCTAAAGTGGGTAGAAATGTTATGGAGGGAGTAGTAGGTAATTTTGGGGTGCCAGGGTAAATGTAAATGGGGAGCCTTTAATTGAGCTATGTGTAGAAAGAAATTTGGTAATAAGTAATACATATTTTATGAAAAAGAGGATAAATAAATATACAAGGTATGATGTAGCACGTAATGAAAGTAGTTTGTTAGATTATGTATTGGTGGATAAAAAGTTGATGGGTAGGCTCCAGGATGTACATGTTTATAGAGGGGCAACTTATATGGGTTCTTTTTTATTTTGTAGTCCATTTAGAGAAAGGGGTTTTGATGGGAAAAAAAGGAAGGGGGCAAAAACAAGTAAGAGGAGGTAAAATTTAAAAAACTAAGGGAGGGGAAAGTTTAGGGCGAATAAAAGCAAACTTTTGGCAAAAAAGGGGGGCGTAAAAAAGTTAGAAAGGGGGGGGTTTGAAGGGGGTTGGAATATTTTTAAAAATGCAGTATTAAAAAATGGGGGGAAGTTTGGGGTTTATAGGAGGGGGGGGCAGGGGGAAAGGGAGTGTTTGGTGGAAGATGAAGAAAAGGGGTTTGTGTTTAAAAAGGGGAAAAAGGAGCTTACAGAGGTTTTTTTAAAAAGGGCAAAAGTGTTATAAAAGAGCGGGTTTATTGGAGAGAAAAAAAAGGGTTTGAAGAGGGGGGAAAAGAGGGGGAAAAAGGAGACAAATGAAAGATTTGGGAGAGGCACTGTCAAAAAATTTTTAAGAAAAAAAAAAAAAAATTTTAGAGGGGTTTTTAAACAAGTTAAGAAAGCCTAGGGAAAGTATGGTTTTGTCGGGAAAAAAAACAGATTAGGGGAGTTAGTAATGGGGGAGGGGGGAAATTAAGGTAGTTTGGCGAAATATTTTGGGGAAATTTTTTTTAAATTTTAAAGGGAAGAAAGGGAGGGGGGAAATTTTTCATGCACGGGCCAGGGAGGGTATACCATCTTTTAGGATAAAGGAAGAGCGGGACGAAAGTGTGGGGAGGGTACGTGAGGAAAATTACGTAGAATGAAAGGGGGTAAAGCAGCGGGAAAATGAGGGGATCTTTACAGAAATTTTTTTAAAAGCAGGGGGGGATAATTTGTTGGAGGGGTTTGGGAATTTTTGTTTAAAAAATGTTTTGAAAGGGGGGAAGGTACCTGGGGATTGGCGGGGGAGCATGTATATCCCTTTATAAAAAGGGGAAAAGGGGGACAAAAGAGATTGTAAAAATTTTTAGAGGAAAAGTTTACTGGAAAAACCAAAGAAAAGTAAAAACGGAAAGGGTTTATAATTAAAAAATTTAGGGTAAAGAATGTAAAATTGGGGCAACAAGGGGGTTTTCATGGGGGTAGGGAGGGTTTTTAAGACCCAGTTTTTTACTTTTGAAGCATATATGTGAACCGTTTTTAAAGTAAAGGTTGGGGAAGTTTTTTTTTTTCCCATTTATGGTTTTAAAAATATGAAAAGGGGATAGGGAGCAATTTTGGAAGATTTTGCAAGTAAAAAAATTGGAAAAGGTGGAAAGTTACTAAATCCCTTTTAAAAGAGCTTTTATGAGGATAGTGAGGCTCGGGTTAGGGTGTTTAAAAAGGGGGGAAAATTACCCCCGGGGAAAAAATTAGGTCTTAACAGGGATGGGAAATTTTCCCCCAGGGGTTGTTTTTTATTTTTATAGATGGGGTGAAAAAGAAGTAAAATGCTAGGTGTTTTCGGGAGAGGGGGGGGTTTAAAATTAGGGGGTTTAAAAATTCAAAAGGGGAAATTTGAACACATTTTACTTTTTGCTGGGGTTTATGTTTTTTGGGGAGATTTAAAGAAAAATTGAAAAGGGGTTGGGATGATTTTTGAGAATGTGGGGTAAAGGTAGAAAGTTGAAAGTGAACAAAAGAAAAAGTAAGGTGATGAGGGTATCAAGATTTTAGATAAGAAAAATTGGATATCAAATTGGGGAGGGGATAGGGAAAAGTGAATGTTTTCAGATACTTGGGATTGACGTGTCGGGGATGGTTTAGAAGGATGGGGTTTAATCTAGAATTGATGAGGAAAAAAAGGTGAGGGGGTGCTTGAGGATATGTAGCAAAAAACGTTTCAAGGGAGGCAAAAAAGGGAATTAGAAAGTATAGTAAACCCAAACACTCTTATATGGTGTGAACTTGGGGTAAATGCGCAGCGAGGAAGGGTTTTTGGAGCAGTGGAGATGCCCCTGTCAAGGCAATGTTGGGAAATATTAGCAAAAAAATTGGGGAGTGTGGAAAATTAGGAAAGGTTGGATTAATAAAAGCATTAGTCAAGGGGGCGAAGAGGGGTTTTGAGGTTTTTTTGGTCATTTAGAGAAAAGGGGACAAAGTGAATGAATGGAAAGCAATAAATTAAAAGGGGGAAGGGAAAGGGGGGTAGGGGTCGTCCTCAAAAGGGGGGGGAAAGAGGGGTAAAGGGGGTTTGGGGGGGTGGGGGGCTTGGGACTTCCAGGCGTGAAAAGAGCGGTTTAATAGGGTGAAGGGGAACGAATAATTTGGGACCGACGATCTTTTGGGAGTGGAGCGGGGTAATATTTAGTGAGGGTAGGAAAAAAGGTTATTTTCAAATTTTTCGGACTTGATCCGGAAATGGGAAATACAATCCGCACTTTAAAGGGGGGTTTGGATATTGCAGTTTTTGGGGATATGTTGTGTACTCTATACGTATATGCTTCTAAAGTTATATTTGACACCTCTGCAAAAGCTGATAATGTGTGGTGGGGAAAGTGTTGAAGATGATGAAAATTTTCTTTTTGGGGATTTCTTCTTTTTTGGGGCACCCGCTCGGGGGAACGAGATTGTTGAAAAAAAAAAAAAAAAAAAAAAAAAAAAAAAAAAAAAAAAAAAAAAAATATATATATATATATAATAATATATTATATATAAATATATATTAATAATATATATAAAAAAAATATATATATATATATATATATATATTTTACAGTGGACCCCCGGTTAACGATATTTTTTCATTCCAGAAGTATGTTCAGGTGCCAGTACTGACCGAATTTGTTCCCATAAGGAATATTGTTAAGTAGATTAGTCCATTTCAGACCCCCAAACATACACGTACAAACGCACTTACATAAATACACTTACATAATTGGTCGCATTGGGAGGTGATCGTTATGCGGGGGTCCACTGTATATATTCGGTGGGAGACGGCCGACTTGTTGAAAAAAAAAAAAAAAAAAAAAAAAAATGTGTAGTGTGACCTAAGTGTAAGTAGAAGTACCAAGACGTACCTGAAATCTTGCATGTGTATGAGACAGAAAAAAAAGACACCAGCAATCCTACCATCATGTAAAACAATTACACACTGTACAGGCTTCTGTTTTACACTCACTTGGCAGGACGGTAGTACCTCCCTGGGCGGTTGCTGTCTATCAACCTACTACCTAGGCTTAATGTTATTTATTCACATATAAAACAATTATTTATTTTATTATTTTGTTTGCCAGATTGGTATCTCCCACCTGAAAGACCCAAAGAAAAGGAAACATTCACCATCATTCAATCACTAGCTGTCTTGCCAGAATTGTACAGACATCACAACTCAAAATGACTCTCTGAGCTGCAACATCCACACCCCTCTAGAGTACAGGCACTGTATTTCCCACCTCCAGGACTCAAGTCTAACTAGCCAGTTTTCCTGAATCCCTTCATAAATGTTATTTTGCTCACACTCCAATAGTATGTCATGTCATTAAAAAAACTCATCTCCACTCACTCTGATCTAACATGCACATACATGCCTGCTAGATGCTCAAGCCACTAGAATTCAAAACTTCCTTTACCCCCCTACCCCAAACCTTCCCTTGGACGACCCCTATCTGTCCTTCCTTCCACCCTAGACTTATACACAGTCCTTTAACCTCTCTGTTTTTCCTCCACATATCCTGCTTTCTATATATCAGTTTTATATTGGAAAACTCTCTAACATGCTAACTCTTCCCTCTTATCACCCAGAAACTTTTTGGCAAAGTTTTTCTCACATTATGCTTTGATTCCTTGTTGTCCCTTTCCAGATCTTCCCAAAATATTCACTTTCATCCTAATTTTTATGCTTTCAAATATTATGAATTGCAGAAGCTTGCAGCATTCACAGAAATTATTTTTTAACTCGATGGCCATTTCCCACTGAGCCAGGGTGACCCAGAGATGAAAACATATTCACATTTATTCATTCAGTTGCTGGTACTGATATTTTTTTTTTTAACATGCTGGCCATTTCCCATGGCCAGTGCGTAATGGCAGAGTGACCCGAAGAAGAAACACTTTCACCATCATTCACACTAACACTGTCTTCCGAGACGTGTATATATATGACAGTTCAGGTGTCACACCAAACAGCAAATATCCCAAACACTTCCTACTTAATTATTTAGTTTAATTCAGTAAGACAAATAAAGCATTATAAAATCATATACATGTATTGTATTGACAAAAGTAACAGTACTTTACCTTTTCCATCATCATCCCAGTAGGGCTCAGAGATGACAAGATCCCATGGACTGTGATTATAAGCTTTTGGTTCCTGCACTACGTTGTAGAAGTTGTTAATGAGAGGAGCCACACTCAATGTAGAGTCCAGTAACACCAGTGTTCCTTGATTACCAACTTTTGAGAACTGAATATTATACTTGTCAAAGTTCTGGTAGGCTAAGTCTTCTAAAAACTTCTTTGCCAAAGAAGGCTCATCTTAAAAAGAAATTACAACATATTATCCTACAATAGTCTTGCTGCATATATGAGCTAACAGTAGCTAGTGCCAAATAATTATACATCTGTAACTATTGTAGTATAGTACAACAAAGAATAACTTCATTGCAAAATTATTTTGCCCTGCAAATACTTGTTCAATATTCCGAAAATCTAATTATTGTGGTATTCCCTTGTTTTTAGGCTTGAACAAATTTTTTGAAATTAAAACAGAATGACTGCTAATTGGTACAAAGTCTCACAGCACAGTCTTATTAACCTTTTGACTGTCGAGATCCCTGCTCAGAAACTTGCTCTCAGTGTCGAAGAATTTAAAAAAAAAAAAAAATTTTATGAAATGATAGAGAATCTTTTCCCGATGGTAATGACATCAAAAGAACGAAATTTGATGGAAAATTTATGGAATTACGCTCTCACAAAGTAAGAGATCTTAGCGAAATTTATGCATCGGCGATTTCGCCCACTTTGAGCCCTATTTTCGGCCAATTCCATTTTTCCACTCAACCAAACTCATAGCTATTTCTTTAGAACTCCATTTGTTCTATCAATTGAGTACAAGAAACTGCCATTTACACATTTCAACTACCCAATAAAGTGGTCAGAAATTGGCAATTTGGCCAATTTCACGTAAATGAGGAAAGATGCCAATTTCAAAATAGGGTCCAGAATGAACAATGCAGACATTTCTGGCACTAAAATAACATTTTTCTCTGTTCATCAGTGACATCTCAAGGCATTTCTTATATTACTCTTGCTTTCTATTTTGATTCTTTATTCACGCAAAAAAACAGAAGATTATGCAGACTACTGAATTATTGTAATAATTGTATAAATAATGTCAACCCATTCGTGACTATGTATTAGAATGGCTAGTTGGACACTTATCGGACAATGACATCATTTGTTTACTCTTGAACATCGGCAAAAATCAAACATTTCCGCTATTTTGAGCTCAATTTCAAGGTCCTTTTCATCTTGAAACCAATCAAAATCATCTCTATTTCTGTAATATGTGCTCCATTCTATCAAATGAGATCAAGAAAACGAGAATACAATCGAAAATACACCTTAAAGTTGGCATTTTAATATCCAAAAACACAGTCGGAGATTTTTTTCTCATTATGCACTGCATGCTGCTGGATTTTTTTTTATACTGCACATGCTGACCACACAGATCCATTCTCTCACATGTGGGCCTACCAGCTTTCTCACACTTGATATGAAGCCGCTTGAATTTTGGAGTATAAATACGTCAAAAACACTGGCTCGTAAAACATATACATGTATATACGTCAAAAACAGTCAAAGGGTTAAAACCTTATTAAGAATTCGTGCTCTGGGATGCCTTGATTAAAGAATATGTTGTTTGCTTTACAGTAAAGTGCTTCAAATTCACTTTTTGCAGTCAGCAGATCTGTATGGTGAACAAGACCTAAATGTGTTGTGCTTTACAAGGTGAATCAAGGAAGATATGACAGGTGGTAAATTTTCTTTATCATATGCAGCATAGTAATTTGGCTCATATGTGGTGTGTGTGTGTGTAAATTAGACACATGTACAATCCAATGGTTCCCTTTTTGGTATCATGGTTAATGTCCAAAGACAAGACGGGGTGATTAAAAGTAAAAAAATGAACCGATGAACAAGAAAGGAGTATGGTCTGGAGTGAAGGGCTGAAGCGAGGCCTCTTCTTAAAATAAAGGCCTAGCCCTGGACATGGAGGGGAAATATCTTACCATGCGACACAGCGGTATTTCATGCCTTGGAAATAATATGCTGCAATTTTGCAACTGCATTAATGTGAAAAAGTGTTACAAGATCATGTATTAACTGATGGTCTACTGTATGTCTCTCAGTGAGAGACAATATAAAATACTCACCACTGACTAGTCCAAGTCCAAAGGTGCTGATGACGACTCTAGTATTAATGGATTCTATTCTCTCAGCAACCCTCTTCATGACTAGGCGTGTTTGCCGTACTGTTTCCAACACCCCGCGACTCATGTACACCAGTAGAACTGATGCATTTTGTGATGACAAACTAAGTGATGAACTTGCAATAACATCAAGAGCTGATAGCAGTCCAAGACTATGGTTAGTTCGTTCTGAGGGAAAAAAAGAAAACTGTCACTCTTGATATGCTGATGAAAAGAAGACTGAAATAACAATAAACAATCCTCAGTATAACAGACTAATATAGTGGGAAGCAAGTGGCAAGTAATGGCAAGTGTGGTGGATAGAGAGGAAGTTGTGTTGCCATGATAGTAAGAATAACAGACTATTCTGTAACCAAATTTCATCTGTTGTTTCCAAATTCATTGACCTGGTGGATTTTGTTTTATATTTCTGAAGTCTGTTACATAGAGGTCTGTTACATTGAGGGTTTATTTAGATTAATCTTTTGGATGTACATGTTAAAAGCAGGTCTGGTGAGATAAAGCCACTGGAAGAGGGGATTCATGGGAACCTTCTAATAATATGCAAAGTACGTAGTTACCACCATATTTTATCATTAATAGAATGTGTGGGAAAAAGTGTATAATGCCATGTCAAACATAATACAAATCCATCTAAAATAAATGTCATGTAGTTACAAAAATATTCTTCAATGTGTATCACTGATCTCCCTCAGTTTTAACTTTTTTAAAATCAAGACTCTGTCACTGAAGCCCAGTAAGATTAAATAGATTCAAACTCTCATGTCTTCAAATTTTGTCTCTATAGGATACAGTGGAACCTCGGCTTACGAATGCCCCACCATGCAAATTTTTCAGGATACAAACAGTCACTTGATCGATATTTTGCTTCTGGATACGAACGAAATTTCAGGATGCGAACTTTCCCCTCAAGGGAGGTTCCTTGGTGAGGGGCTCTTGTTCAAGGGAATTGGATCTGTGCTCCACTTACCTAAATTAATAATAATAATAATTATTATTATAATACGTACTAATGATAAAACACTGCAGCAGGCCTGTTGGCCCATACTAGGCAGGTCCTTCACAATCCATCCCACTAACAGAATATTTGCCCAACTCAATTTTCAATGCTACCCAAGAAATAAGCTTTGATAATTCTATTAGAAAGAGGTCTGGTAATAAGTAATACATATTTTATGAAAAAGAGGATAAATAAATATACAAGGTATGATGTAGCACTTAATGAAAGTAGTTTGATAGATTATGTATTGGTGGATAAAAGGTTGATGGGTAGGCTCCAGGATGTACACGTTTATAGAGGGGCAACTGATATATCAGATCATTATCTAGTTGTAAATACAGTTAGAGTAAGAGGTAGATGGGATAAGAGGAAAATGGCAACAACAAGTAAGAGGGAGGTGAAAGTGTATAAACTAAGGGAGGAGGAAGTTCAGGTGAAATATAAGCAACTATTGGCAGAAAGGTGGGCTGGTGCAAGTATGAGTTGTGGGGGGGTTGAAGAGGGTTGGAATAATTTTAAAAATGCAGTATTAGAATGTGGGGCAGAAGTTTGTGGTTATAGGAGGGTGGGTGCAGGAGGAAAGAGGAGTGATTGGTGGAATGATGAAGTTAAGGATGTGATAAAAGAGAAAAAGGTAGCTTATGAGAGGTTTTTACAAAGCAGAAGTGTTATAAGAAGAGCAGAGTATATGGAGAGTAAAAGAAAGGTGAAGAGAGTGGTGAGAGAGTGCAAAAGGAGAGCGGATGATAGAGTGGGAGAAGTACTGTCAAGAAATTTTAATGAAAATAAGAAAAAATTTTGGAGTGAGTTAAACAAGTTAAGAAAGCCTAGGTAACAAATGGATTTGTCAGTTAAAAACAGAGTAAGGGAGTTAGTAGATGGGGAGATGGAGGTTTTGGGTAGATGGCGAGAATATTTTGAGGAACTTTTAAATGTCGACGAAGAAAAGGAGGCAGTAATTTCATGCACTGGCCAGGGAGGTATACCATCTTGTAGGAGTGAAGAAGAGCAGGATGTGAGTGTGGGGGAGGTGCGTGAGGCATTATGTAGAATGAAAGGGGGTAAAGCAGCTGGAACTGACGGGATCATGACAGAAATGTTAAAAGCAGGGGGGACATAGTGTTGGAATGGTTGGTATTTTTGTTTAATAAATGTATGAAAGAGGGGAAGGTACCTACAGATTGGCAGATAGTGTGTATAGTCCCTTTATATAAAGGGAAAGGGGACAAAAGAGATTGTAAAAATTATATAGGAATAAGTTTCCTGAGTATACCAGGAAAAGTGTAAGGTAGGGTTATTATTGAAAGAATTAGAGGTTACACAGAATGTAGAATTGCAGATAAGCAAGTAGGTTTTAGAGTGGGTAGGGGATGTGTAGATGAAGTGGTTACATTGAAGCATATATGTGAGCAGTATTTAGATAAAAGTAGGGAAAGTTTTTTATTGCTTTATGGATTTAGAAAAAGCATAGATAAGTGGTGGGGAAGAATGGGCAGATGTTGCAATTAGGAAATAGGTGGTAACTTATAAATGCTGCAAAGAGTTTTTTGGGTGTGGGCCGGGTTAGGGTGGTAGAAGAGGGGGAGACTTTTTCCCGTAAAAGTGGGCCCTTAGCGGGATGGTAATGTCCCCATGGTTTTTTTAATATATTTCAGAGGGGGTTGTAAAAGAAGTAAATCTAGGGGTTGGGGAGGGGGGGGTTTAAATTATGGGGAATTAAATACAAAATGGGAAGTGACACATTATTTTTGTGATGATACGTGCTTATGGAGATTCTAAAGAAAAATTGCAAAGGTTAGGGGGAAGAATTTGAATTGTGTTTTAAAGGTAAAAGTTAAAATTTAAACTAAAAAAGAGTAAGGTGATGGGTATCAAATGTTTAATAAAAAAAAAATTGGATATCAAATTGGGGGGGGGGAGCATGGAAGAAGTGAATTTTTTCATTTTTTTTGGGAGTGACGTGTCAGGATTGTTTTATGAAGGTGGGGTTTAAATCATAGAATTGATGAAAAAAAAAAGGTGAGTGGTGTTTGAGGTATATGTGGAGAAAAAAAAAATGTTACAAATGGAGGCAAAGAAGGGAATGTATGAAAGTTAGTTTACCAAACATTTTATATGGGGTGAATTTGGGTTGTAATGCTCAGCGGGGGGGGCAATGTATGGTTAAAATATTATCGAAAATTTGGAGTGTGGAAATTGGGAAAAGGGTGATTTAATAAAAGTATTAGTCAGTGGGAAGAGGGGTTGTTGGGTGGTTTGGTCATTTAGAGAGAATGGATCAAATAGAAAGACATGGAGAGTGTTAAATCGTAAGGGAAGGAAGGCAGGGTAGGGGGCAAAACCAAAAAGGTTGGGGGAAGGGGAAAGGGGGTTTTGTGGGAAGGGGTTTTTTTTATTTCCGCAAGCGTGTGTGGCGTGTTAGATAGGATGAATGGGGACAAATGGTATTGGGGGCCTGCGAGCTTTGGAGTGGGAGCAGGGTAAAATTTTTAAACCCCTAACGGTCAACAATCACGTTCACATGTGTAGTGCTACAAAAGTAGATCTAAGTTTTTTTTTTCATATTTTCAATTTTAACAAAAAAAAAGAGTCAAAGTTTTTAACATTTTCAAATGAGAAAAACAAAAAAAAGATCTACTTTTTTTTTCATACTTTCAAAAGCTGAAAAAAAGTATATATACGTTCGGGACCATTTTCGGGGTTAAAAGAAGGATTAGGGAAAAAGTTATTTTAATAAAGGACTTTAGTCTGGGAAAAGGGAAAAACAATGCCTGCACTCTAAAGAGGGGTCTGGGGTATTGGCAGTTTGGAGGGATATGTTGTGTATTTTTATACGTAATGTTCTAAACTGTTTTATTTGGGCACCTCTCAAAAAAAAAGTGTTATGTGGATGAGGGGAAAGTGTTGAAAGTGATGAAAGTTTTTCTTTTTGGGGATTTTTCTTTTTTTTTTGGGTCACCCGCCTTGTGGGAGAGGCCGACTTTTTCAAAAAAAAAAAAACTATTACTCGTGAAGTCCCCACATCCAACCCCTCTCACTCAGATTTATCCAACACAAAATTTAAAAATCCCAGGTTTCAGTCAATAACCAATAGGCAGATTGTCCCCTCAAAAAAATTTAAAAAAAGGAGGAAAACTCCAGCAGGCTGGGCCCAACTTGGAGGCCGTTCACAAATCCCGCCACTAATAAAATAAATGTTACCAAGCAATAAGCTTTAATAAATCTATTTACTCAATGCAAGTCCCACCAAATCCAACCCCCCTTTATCATGTATTTATCCAACCTAAATTGAAATCCCCCAAGGGTTTTCAGCTTCGATAGAACCTTGGGTAGCTTTAAAAAAAAATTTGGGAAAATTTTAAATGAGGGGAGGGGAGGGGTATGTTGGTGTCGGGGGGTAATAATACATTAGAAAGGAGGAAACATGCGTGGGCCCTTTTGGGCCCCATATGGGAAAGTCCTTTACAGATCCAACCAAAACAGAAAAAACTTCCCAAGCAATAAAGCGTTGAAAATTCTATTTATCATTTACTGTGTGAAATGAGTTACGGGAAAAGTAACATTGAAAAATCTTAACACTGACAATGCCACCTGTTGTGCTTCCCTTAGTGGGGGAAAATTAATGACTTGTGATATATAAAAAGTTGTGAGTACTTGCATCATATGAAGTACAGGGGGATCCTGTCTAAAAAAACGATCGCAAAATTTTAAATTTCCCCCCCAACGAAAATTTTAAACGCTAACTTTTTGCCTCGGCTAATGAAAAAAAACTTCCAAACGATTTTTTCGGGGGTACCTTAAATTTTTTTAGGTGGGGGTCCACTGTATTTTGTGTCCCTTCTAAGAGCAGATTCCGCGGGAATGGATTATGCCATTTCAATTTTTAAAAAGGGGAAAATTGACTCAGCAACAAAAAAATGGGTTTCGAAAAGGTCAGGGAACGGATTAAATTCGTAAGCTAAGGCTCCACTGTATGTACTTAAAATACATCATTAATGGTTACAAACCTACAGGCTGATGAAAAGACAAAGATGCAACACTTGGGGTATCCTTTTTGCTAAAATTTCTTCACTTGATCGCAGGTGAAACTTTTGGCACATGTTTGGGAAGCTTCTTGGATAAGGGTATAACAGGGGATCATATAAAAATGCAATTGAAAACTTTTGGG